GTTCGGTATACGTTGCCACTCGGGGATTTGGCGAGTGGTCACTTGAATGTCTGACTGTGGAGTTATGGCCATTGCGAGTGATTGTTTTTGCTTTGCTCATTCTGCATTGGAGAAATGTTTGGAGGAGTTATGTTGTAGGTTGGGCGGTAATACCTCGGCGCGCAGGTATGACGTCATCCGCGGTGGGGGCTGTCAATAAAGTACATAGAACCTCAGGTATGTAGGTTAATGACCATACATTCTCCTGGCTATATATGATTGGCACTTTTTACTACTTTCGTATTTCGTACATACTAATCATGGCAATCCGGTGTGGTGGGCTGGCTGCACCGATAGCAAAATTCCATTTGCAATTATACTGATTGGTATCTTATACTCTGTATAAAGTAACTTCATACAAAAGGTTAGCGCAGTATCGACTTTTCTTCCAGAAATAGTTATTCGGGGCCGTGTTTGTCAGGTTCTGTTGTATATACTTACAGGCCTGAAATCAGTTTCACCAATTTATATGATGCTATTGTAAATGATTTTCATTCTGAACAAGAATTTCGCTCTCTTTTGCTTAGCCGGGCCCTTCTGTGTCCGATATGACTTTCCATCCAGTCGAATCCTGCAGCATGCTTGACGAGAAGAAGATCTTGAGTTGGATATTTCTACTCCGTAGATGTTCAAGTCACTCTAAAATACATATCTTTCTTCAAGCATGATAATTCTTACTAGGGTTGATACTAGTTGTTTATACTAGTTATATATATCTTCATATTTTTCTCTTAACTAGTTTGGGAGTTAAAATCGATGTTATGATTATGTACCTTTTGTATGAAGTTACTATATAAAAGATACCTAATTTGCAGCCGTAGGGTGTTAGCTTGGCACGATTGTCTTAAGATATGCGAATGTCGTCATTTATTTGTACACTACACACGTAGACTAGACCTGATCAGGGAACTTGAAGGTTATAGTCATGTATTCCCATCTGTTTCTAAGATTCTAAGACAGCAGGGTGCTTCTTTTACAGCCTAGCTTTGCTATATGTCTAGGAGAGTTTGAAGTCCGTAATAGTACTAGGTATAAATATAGATCTATGGATCAAGTCTCACTAGAGATATATGTCGTGATACAGATATAGAGACAGGTTTATTATGGAGAAACCAAAGCCCCAATACATGTATATCACCACATGCTAAAGTATCGTCTGATAAAGAAATAATAATCTATATACTTAGAGCATCTAGATTCGCTTTGATCAAAAGCATCAAAGCCGATGATGTAGATTTGGCGGGAAAGCTCCGCCACCTCACCGCCTGCGGCAACAAGGCCATCATCCCCACGCTGGTCCTACTCAGCCTCATCATTTCTCTGCTCCTGTTCTGCCTAATCTCTTTTCCAATCTTTGCTCTAGACGTTCCCGAGGATATCGTCTTACTCTCTTCCCTCGACTGTCTGGACCCCACTCTTGCAACAACCCCTCCTCCCAAGCGTCTACCCTCATTCGATCACTCGAAGATCCTTTGAGGCGTGACTTGTGGCGCTACAACCGTCCTGAGGTAATATTCATGACGTGTAACCTACTGGTTACTATCGAGAGTTAAGAGCGCGTTGCTGACTTAGTGGAGTAGGACTCTCGGCCTGGACCACTCACCTTCTTCCGCATCCCACCTGCAACCGCGATGTCTCCCGCGATGCCGCCGGTACCTCACAAGGATGACCTTGATTCAACGTGAGCAGACAATGAATTGGGATTTTGCTTCAATGCGATGGTATGGCATGAGCTAACTGGGTTAGTTGGACATTCCTAGAAGCAGGAATCGAGAGCGTCATGCTCAACCTTGACGCCGGAATCGATATGAAGACCGTAAGTGAAATGCCGAACGACTCCCTGTCGATGAGTGTGTTTAAAAATAGAAGCTGACTGGTTGTTCTTGTCTAGTACATGGCTCTGTACACGTGTGTTCAAGATTCAACACCACTTCTCTGACGAGAACCACACTCACACATTGATATTAGGGCTGTCCATAACTTCTGCACATCCCAAAAAGCAGTCGCTAGTGGCCAAGGCCTACAAGGATCACGTGGGGGTTCGTTTTTCCCCCTGTATGCCAGTTCTCGATATGAGCTGACCTGGACTCAAGCCCATCTGCTCGGCGAGGAACTTTACAAATTACTCGGCGAATACCTCTCGTCCCATCTGAATAAGGTCTACAAACAATCACAGAGTCACACCGAGGAAGGCCTGCTTGGCTTCTACATTCGCGAATGGTACCGCTATACGACCGCCGCCAAGTACGTGAACCACATTTTCCGCTACCTCAATCGGCACTGGGTTAAGCGTGAGATCGACGAGGGCAAGAAAAACGTCTATGATGTTTACACTCTGCACTTGGTTAAATGGAAAACGGAATTTTTTGAAAAAGTCCATGAGAAGGTCATGGACGCTGTGCTGAATTTGATCGAGAAGCAACGGAATGGCGAAACCATCGAACAGTCCCAGATCAAAGCTATTGTGGACTCCTTCGTGTCACTGGGTCTGGATGAGAACGATAGCTCTAAGTCAACACTAGATGTCTATCGGCAGTACTTCCAGCAGCCGTTCATCCGTGCCACCAGAACCTATTATGAAAATGAGTCACGGCAGTTCGTGGCCGAAAATAGCGTGGTGGAATACATGAAGAAGGCAGAAGCTCGTCTGGAAGAGGAGAAGCTCCGGGTCGGTCTGTATTTGCATCCAGATGTCACCAAGAGCTTGACCGATACCTGCCTGTCTGTTCTCGTCACTGCCCACTCAACTTTGCTTCGCGACGAGTTCCAAGTCTTGCTGGATAACGAACGTCAGGACGATCTTGCTCGTATGTATCGACTCTTATCAAGGATCAAGGAAGGCTTGGATCCTCTGCGCGCGACCTTTGAGAACCACGTGAGACGGGCTGGTTTGGCTGCTGTCGAGAAGGTTGCTTCGGAGGGCGAAACACTCGAGCCCAAGTTGTATGTCGATGCCCTATTGCAAGTTCACACAAGGTACCAGAACTTGGTCGACGAGGCCTTTAATGGCGAGGCTGAGTTCGTGCGTTCCCTTGATAACGCCTGCCGAGAGTTCGTCAACCGAAACCGCGTCTGCAAGACGAGCTCTTCTAAGTCTCCCGAACTGCTGGCAAAATATACGGACTCACTGCTCAAGAAAGGATCCAAGTCGGCTGAAGAGTCGGAGCTTGAGGAGATGCTGGTGCAAATCATGACAGTCTTCAAGTACATCGAAGACAAAGACGTTTTCCAGAAGTTCTATTCCAAGAACCTCGCCAAACGTCTAGTTCATGTGAGCTCTGTTTCTGACGATGCTGAAACAAGCATGATCAGCAAACTGAAGGAGGCGTGTGGTTTCGAATATACCAACAAGCTGCAACGCATGTTCCAGGACATGCAGATTTCCAAGGATCTTAATAACAACTACAAGGTCTGGCAGGACAAAGTACTAGAGGATGAAGACCGAAAGAAAATGTCCGATGCCCACTTCCAAATCCTGGGAACTGGCTTCTGGCCCCTCAATGCCCCGACCACCCCATTCCTTGCGCCACCGGAGATAGTCAAGACCGCCGAACGGTTCCAGACATTTTACTTTGACAAGCACAACGGCCGCAAGTTGACATGGCTGTGGCAGCTATGCAAGGGCGAAATCAAAGCTAACTACATCAAAAACGCCAAGGTGCCCTACACTTTCCAGGTGTCGACCTATCAGATGGGCATTCTTCTTCTCTTCAATGAAACCGACACTCTGTCCTACGGTGAGATCGAAAAGGCTACTACCCTAGCTACCGAAATCCTCGATCCCAACCTTAGCATCCTGCTCAAGGCCAAAGTCCTCATCGCCAGCCCCGACGGCGCTAAGCCCGAGCCCTCCACTTCGTTTACACTGAACTACAACTTCAAGAGTAAGAAGGTCAAGGTCAACCTGAACATTCAGATCAAGTCTGAGGCAAAGGTCGAGGCCGACGACACACACAAAACGATAGAAGAGGACAGGAAGCTTCTGCTTCAAGTATGTCTCCTACCTAATCATCACCCCCCACACAGTCCATTTGTCCTAACCTTGCTATAGTCTGCCATTGTTCGAATCATGAAGTCACGCAAGAAGATGAAGCACGTCCAGCTTGTTCAGGAGGTTATCCAGCAGGTCAAATCCCGCTTCCCGCCTAAAATTCCCGACATCAAGAAGAACATTGAAGCCCTTATGGAGAAGGATTACATTGAGCGCATGGACGGCGATGAAATCTCGTACATTGCTTAAATCGAATTAAATTCCCCTTCCCCCTTCCCCTTCCCGCCCACTTCCTCCAATATTGCACAATCAACTTGTTTCTATTTCCTTTTTCTGTTGCTCTCTGCTTTTGCTACTGTCTCTTTCCGACACCAGTGGCTTCCTGTGTCCCTTTACCCTTCTATACCATCGATGATGGAATAGCAACGCAAAGGGAATGGGACCTCTGCTGGTCCAGGATAGAACTCCTACAATGGATAGCTAGCGGATAGAATCAGGCTGATAGGAGCATGAATTCTTCTCATTGTATCGGCGACTTATTTTATGTTTCTTCATAGCGCTGAGACGACAAACAAATGATGACCTGATTATTTTCTTTGCTTTTTGCTCTTCGCTCTCTGTTTTCTTTTCTTTCTCTGAAAATAACAAAATAACAAAATACAATAAATTCATGATTATGTTCTGCATAGCTGGCTATTAGGTATTCGAAGATTAAAACAACGCTGATCAATATCGAACATCGTAGAAACGTTCACTTCAATATTTCATTCAGCGGATCAATATGCGTAGTATTGGCTAGACCCAGTGCGTCCTTATGTATAGTCAAGACAAGAACTGTGCTAGAATGGATATGCTATGCAAAGTAGAGACGACAAGAGAGACAGAGAACAGAAGACCGAAAGTCCACGAAGTGCTGAATCATCCTAGATGCGAAAAATGCAAATCAACGCCAGGTTCCAGGTCCAGCGCGCTAGTTCGTACCAGACGAGTCTTTGCTCTGGGCCGGATGCGTCTCCTCTTTGACAGGGAGCCCTGTCGCTAAGTCCTCAGGCGGCGTATCTACCTCCACGCCGCTCGGGGCTGTGGGTTCCTTCTGGATCTGAGGAACAGTCTCCTCGGTCTTGAAACTCAACCCCAGGCCTTCATTCGACGTGAGAGCCACAGGGGCGAACCCGTCTGCATCGACGGTATCCTTTCCATCTTGCTTAAGGTTCTCGGTCTGCTTGTGCGGATCATAAGCCGGGAACCCCTGCGACAGAGGAGACTTGGGAAAGGGAGTTTCGATAGAATCGGATGTGGGAACGTCTTCGTAGCGCTGGAACTCGCCGCTATCGCGTCTGAGTATGATATTACTCCACCTCTTTCTCCGGCTGGTGCTACGACTCAGACCACCCTTGGGGCTCTCGTTGCCTTCGCTATTACGCAAGATGGAACGGCGGCGGCCGCGGTCCATCTCGGCTGTTTGGGTAACGATGGACAAGATCGGGGTGGATGCCGAAGTCAAGTCGGCATTGGGAGAGGTACTTGGGCTCGGGGATGTCACGCGCTTTTCTTGCCATTCGCGCCGCTTTTCGCTCGCCCAGGTGCCCCACGAGCTGAGATACGAGCCGGCTTTTTGGCTGGCTACGCTCACGGAGGCCTGAGCCTGTGTCAGGTCGACGGATGCCCTTGGGCGGTTTGCGAACCAGGAGGCATCGGAGGGATTCGGTGAAGTGGGGGTTGGTGATATTGGGGTTTCTTTGTCGATGGAGGTACGCTGCGATTGGGAGGCGGCTCTCTCTTCGGTGCGTTTGCGTTGCGCTTCGCGCATTGTCTCGAGGTCGGACCAGAAGCTGGTAAATGCCGCGCTCACTTTTTTTTGTCCGGTTGAGAAGTGGCGGTTCAGGGCCTCGCGGCCTTCACGGACACGCTCATCGAGGTGGAGGTCTGCTACCTGTTGTGCGAGTCGTCTTTGGACATCTTCCATTGTCAGACCGCCAGCGCTTGGGTGTCGTGGTTCAGTGATGGAAAATAGAAGCGCATCCGAAGTGAGACGTGAGAACAGGGCGTAATTATATGTGGTCTTCCACTGGGTAAGGAACTCTGTATTGAAGTCGATGGCAGGGTCTCCTTCAATGTTGAGGTTTTGCAGCTGGGTTCTGCTGCGAGCCGCCGATTCTCCAACGTCGGATGGGTAGAGCTCCTCGTGGTATTTCATGGACGATAATAATGCTAACAAGTATTCTTCGAACTGTAGTCGAATGAATTCTTCTGAGCCCATAAAGCCAAGGGTATTGGGTTGTGAAGGATGTTCCTCGTCCCAAGTGTCATTGACAATTTGTGTGAGCAGGTCAATCCAGCGCCTATCGGCCGCTGAGAGAACTAGGGCATTGCGGAGGGAAGGAGAATTTATGACGATACTGTCTTCGTCAAGGTTAATTAGAATATCACTGTACCGGTCCTTTTGCTGGAGAAGTAGCGAGTTTGTTGAGCCAACCACATAAGATTTCGTGCCATCATCTGCCAGCAGATCCAGCAGCTGGAGGGGTGTATAGGGGCCAAACATGCTTCCCTTTCCGAAAATCTGCAATGGAAGCCCCATGTATGCCAACAAAGAACTTCTGTCACTCGTCTTGAGAGATGTTGGTTTCTCAACAGTCTGAGAGTAGGTGTCAAAAGCAGGATCCGCGCAGTCCTGCAAGCTGTTGATAAGGCCGGGTATTAAAGAAATAAGCGAGAACTGAATCATGCATAGGCGTTCACAGCGTGTCCCGAAGAAAAGCATCTTGGGTTGCAACAGTAGTGCCTTAAAAAGAACCAAAGTCTGAAATTTGAATTCGTGAATCATCTCCCGTAGCGAGAGGCCTTCATAAATTAGCGAAGCTTCACGCATATCGGAAAGGATGATATCCTTACCCAAGTTCTGGTCTTTGGGGCCATCATTCAACAGAGAAATCACCAAGCCCTCGCGGAATTTCTGTATCCATGTCAGCATTTCATTCTATACACCGCCGCAAATAGTCCATACCTTCAAGATATCAACATCCGAGAAGTCACTGTTTATAACAGTGCCGAATTAGCCAAATTCCCCATTCAAGTCATGTTCTATCCAACTCCCATGCCAGCGCATCAGGGAAGCAAATAGCCCACCGGGGCAAGTATATTCCACATACCGTTGCGCGAACCAAGCCGAAGTCACCACGGAGAGCTTCTCACGCAAATGACCTACTCGCTGCGGAGTATCTGTCACGACTACAACGGCCTTTTGTACCGTTGACCGAGTCACATCGGGCGACGGGTTGATAAGCAGACTCGAGTCGATCTGGCGAGAACAGGCGATGCCGAACAGGGAAGTTTCAGGCGCAGTAGAGGTGGCCTTTCGGCAGAGTGTGAAATATGAGAATTCCTCGGTCGATCTGTGATCCGACGAGTTAGTGGGTCTGGCGCAAATCGGCGCTCCTCGTCGCGGGATTGCGCCAGAGGAGACAAAGAAGGGAGGAAACGAGATGTGTGTCGGAGACAGGGGTATCGTACAGATGTGCTCCGTCGGATAGGGCCATGAATGGGAGCAGAGACCAGTCATTCTCGGTTGCTGGGTCGTTTCCTTCTTCGGCAATGCAATGCTCAATTTCGGGGCCGCTGTAGGTCTCAGTCAGCTAGGTTCCAGTATGAATCCGTCTTCGTAATCGTTTCAAGATACGAGCTCGGGCTCTCAAGTGTCTCGTGGCTCACCGTGCATGGTGGAAATCTATGACCAAGACAATTGTGTCTTGTTTATGATGGACAGCCATCGCGCCGAACCTTGAGCGGATTCGGGGCGGCTTTGAGAAATGCAATTAGAATGCCGAGAATAAGCAGTTCCAATGAATGATTTGCAACATGTAGAAAATAGCTGCTTCTCCTCCAAAACCTCGACGTAGGTTTCGTTTCGCATGAGACTGAGATCGTCGCAAACAGGGGAACATCGCTGATACGGTTATCGCACGGGGAGCGGGCGGTGAGGGTAGCCCCGCCAATATGCAACACAGGTAGGCTAACTGGGGAAAAGTAATATACTAGTAGGTAACTAAGTGTTGAGGAAATAACTTAGATTGCGTAGATATTTCAAAGGATTAAAGGTTATGAGGTACTCCATCGCTGAACTGAATCAGGTTCCCCGTATGATTTCTCCTAATCACCAACCAATTCTTGACGACGCCGGAAGAGTTATGGACAAGGATTTCCAGAAATAAAAAAAAGAACAAAATAGAAAATGAAAAATAAAATAAAAAACACAGTGAATACGCCAGCTTCGTAGCACCCTTGAACAGAAATAGAGCCAGACTTCAACTTTTGAGACTGGAATTCAATGGCAGAAGAGCGTTTCTTGGGGGAAGGGGGTCTCACGTCAAAACATTATGCGAATGCCTGTCCAGTAGCGTTGCCCTGTACTGCGCCCTGTACCAAGGCTTGGCCAGCCTCGTTGCCTTGTTCAATGTTGTGGAAGTCGAGGATTTCCGAGTACCTAAGGTGGAAAATTAGTATAAGAATCGTGGCGGGTAACATATCCAGCACGTACATCATGATCTTCCAAGTATCTACCGGCAAATCGGCATCATTGAACGACCAATCGAACTTCTCTTGTGCGACAGGTTCATCGGTGGGGTCATGGTAGGGCGCCAGGTACTCATGCGCTAATGCTTCTGTGGCTTGAATGCGCTGCTTCGGGTTGAAAACCAGCATCCGCTCGAGCAGGTCAACCGCTAGAAAAAAAAGTTAGCGCATTGTTCACAACCCTATGATCTAAAATATGACGTACCATCGGCATCGGCGTTCTTGAATTTATTTGCGAGGGGTTGGCGCTCGCGCTTTGGTAGTGACTTGACAAATCGGAGGGTCTGGACCATATATTAGCATGTTCTCATCTTTCACCACACAAAGCATAACTCACGTTCTCGCTGCAGATAGTCTGGATCACGTCCTCGGGAGGAGTACCGAGCAGCTCCGTAATGATCGAGAACTGGTTTACATGGTCCTTTCCGGGGAACAGCGGCTTTCCTTCCAACATCTCGGCGAAGATGCAGCCCGCGCTCCAGATGTCTACCTCGACATCGTACTTTTGCCAGGTGAGCATGATCTCGGGTGCGCGGTAGTATCGTGTTGAGACATAGCCGGTCATTTGCGGGTCCTGAATGCGAGCAAGACCAAAGTCGCAGATTTTCAGATCACAGTTCTCGTTAATCAGGATGTTGCTGGGTTTGAGATCCCGGTGGACCACACCGGCGGAGTGAACATATTTCAAGCCACGCTATAAAAACGTTAGATTCCGGTGTCCCGGGTATTATTCCCGTGGAATTCTTACCAGAATTTGGTATAAGAAGTACTGGATGAATTGCTTTTCAAGAGGTCGCGAAGTGAGAAGTCGGTGGAGGTCAGTTCCCAAAAGTTCGGTGACGAAGTAACTGTAGTCATTAGTTTATACTGTTCACCCCGCTTTGTAGGTAAGGGGGACATACATGTCTTCCAAAGGCGAAATGAAAATGTCACTCAAGCTGATAATCTGCGGGATGTCAGCAAGTAAGACTAGTCCATTTATTTGACGGAGTACGGACGTTCTCGTGGCGGAGATGTTTGAGCAGCTTCAGCTCGCGGTAGGTTCGCTTGGACAGAACGGGGGTACTGAACGGCTTCATGATTTTCTTGACTGCGACTGGCTGTGCGGTCAATTGGTCTTTGGCAGAACTGTGGTATTAGTGGCCTCGTTAGTATATACTTGGTCTTGAAAATATCTTGTGCGACATATAATGCAACATACCAGACCAGCCCGAAGGCACCCATTCCCACCGGCTGCAGTTCCGTATACCTAGAATCAGTTAGCACCATCATTCCCTCAAGGCGCCTATAAAGCACCTCAAGTAGATACCAAGGAGCAGGGCATTGCGAACCGGCTGGTGATCTCAAAGGTGGTGCCAAAAATCTGGGCACGCACGAATTCCGCCATGATGGAAGGTGGGGGTATGCAAGCGGAAGTCGAGAAAGAGAGATATTCCTATCAGAATTCCACGTCAAAGAAGACGAAGGAGAGTGAAGATGGTAGCTTTCCAGAGAAAATTGCCAGAAGAAAGGGGTCGCGAAGAAAGCAAGTGTGTTGGCAACAGGTGTGGGGAAGGGACTGGGTGAAAAGCGCAGAAAACAAGGCCGATGACGTTGGCGAAGCCCCGGTTATGTGGATGACTCAGCAGCTTCTAGCCCGTGTATTAAAGTGGGTTTTTCTGAATATTATATGCAGATTGGCACGGTGGTTGTATTTCAATGTTATAATCTCTTTGGAGGTGTTATTCCTTGCAACTATACAAGTCTCATCCTATTCCATGTCCAGGTGTTGGTTATGCGAACTTCTAAAGTTGGCAGGTAACCCTCGCTCCACCGCGCGGCCCAGACCCTGGTCTTATCCCGGAAGATGTTTCCCTTGAACAGGATTGCTCGTTGGTATCGCTGATATAGAATGTAGAACTTGTATAGACAGATCAATGCGGTGAATTTTATCTATGTATATTTATAATTTTTAAATTCTGCGCTTAACTCGCTCGAGAACCAATATACGGAGAGCTCTTGGGCCTCTACTGAGAACCTTGGCAGGTCAGAGTACAACCCCTCACCTTCAACCCCCTTAAGCAGACCTGATAGATATTGGAATTTATCAAATCTACATGTATATAAGCTCTACCATAGCTTCCTCTCTGGTGCTTCTATAGGCCCGGTAGACTGTCCCGGAAGACATTGCTGTAAAAGAGGTCCGTTCCCCAGGCCTAGAGCACATCCCTCCAGCTATCAAAGCACAATTGACTGTCCCAATAGGCCAGCTCTGATATTCTCTGACGTGTCTTCTTAGCTTACAACAATGCAACTCCATGGATGCAATTTGGCAGCTAAGACATGTGAAACAATGCCTGTCACGCTACTGCGGACAACTAATACATGCAACAAAGGCCTTTGAATGAGGTGGTTGACTGGACAGGAATGCAGCTTATTTTAAACTCTGGAGATATATCTCCGGGGTTGTATTTCCTGAGTGTACCTGATAGGAATGTGCATATTCGCATACCTACACATATCTCCTTGGGAAATATATATATAGTGACTCTCCGTGGAGCCTGATGATTGCCTCTACCTCACACTGCCTAGGTATTAGTAATATCAAGCTCAAAGTGCTCTTCCTAGCCTTGATCTTGCCAGTGCGCCCTGCACATCCGTCCACAAGCCTGAATCTACTTCCTTGTCGTGAGGGGAGAGGGTCAGTGCCCGGCTTCACCGCATATCCAAGATAAGTCAGTGGTCCCAGGATGAAAGCAACATGCAGGTATTGCAAACTAGCAGAACCACAGTATATATGAGTATACAATCCTATATCATGGAGACTATCCAGCTGTACGGAGTACTCCGCGTCCCAACCCAACCCCGCCTTGCCTGAGGCCCCAATTTTGCCGGTACTCTCCACTTTAAAGCTCCAGTGTGGGTTAAAAGAGTATGGAACGGAGTACTTGGTACGGTACGGAGTACAGAACTCCTAATCAGAGATTTGGATTGGAGATTCGAGGTAAATAGAATCTATATAAGATGATCGAACTTCCGATCGAAGATACATGATAAGAACACATGATCGCACAGCCTGGGTCATCTGGTGGCGCCCCGTTCAATTAGAACCCCCGGGGCTGTTTTCTGTCGCTTAAAGAGTCTTGTCAATAGGAGTATTAGTATTACAATCTGTGATTGGGATGGTTATTGCCCGGCCTAAAATGAATGAGATCTGACAGCAGAACGTGCCCGTTTCCCCCGGGTTTTTCCATGCACCGACCTGGGACATAGCTATATATAAACCAGACAAAAGAAGGAAATGTACCGATATAACAATAAGCTTAAAGATGCAATTGGATATAGGTAATTGCATATCAGATATAAGATACAAGACCTATAACCACAAAGAAAAAGAAATTAAAATAATTACATTAATTACCGAATGTAAGCTGAGCCGTACCTGTTTCTTACATATCTTACACTCCCTCTCCACTCCCCCAGCATGACGATGGTCGCACTGACTCTACCTCTGATTCTTTTGGACTCAGGACACTTTTCTACCCTTACTCTACTATCACATTTACCACTCTCTAAGCTCAACATCTAATTTGAGATCCCTGCCTCTCCGCGTTTACACATATTCCGCCTCCCCCGTCCTAACCGCTAGACCCGAACTCAACAACTCTCCTTCTAAACCCGCTTGTCGCAACTCCTTCAACCTCAGCCTTGCCCCTTGACACCTCCTCAACCTAGGTCCCATTGAAATTGGCTCTGATCTCACGTATCCCTATTTCTACACCTGGTCGCGCTGATCCTTTCCCGTGCGTGGCGCTTGGCAGTCTTACAAGCGAAGGCTCCGGCCGTCTTGACCAGCACATTTTGTTCCTGCGCGTGGTGGATGAGTCTTCTCCCTGCTGGTCTGGGTTACTGACGATTTCGCAATGGGGTCGTGTTTCAGCTCGGAGTCCGCGGGGGACGCGGAACAGAAGAAGCGAAGTCAACAGATCGACCGCAAGCTAGAAGAAGATTCTAGGCGGCTACGAAGAGAATGCAAGATTCTTCTTCTGGGTAGGCATTCGGGTGTTCGCTTGGAGGAGAGCTGATGGTTGACTTTAAACTCGCGCAGGATCTGGAGAAAGCGGCAAATCAACGATCGTAAAACAGATGAAGATCATCCACCAAAATGGTTACACCGTCGAAGAACTTGCGCTGTATCGATTGACTGTGTACAAAAATCTGCTGGATTGCGCAAAAGCCCTTATCGGAGCATACCACTATCTCAAACTCGAACCGTCCAGCCAGAAGGTGCAGGATTACATTACATTTCTGGAAGAGTATAACGTGGACCCGGATCCCAACACTCCGCTCGATTCGAAAATCGGCGACGCGATTACATATCTCTGGAACGACCCGTGTACATCCACGGTTTTGGAACATCAGAATGAGTTTTATCTGATGGACTCGGCACCATAGTAAGTCCATCTATCGTTATTTCCGATCGCAAAGCCGAGTTCTAAGCTGTGATCAGTTTCTTCGACGAAGCGAAACGAATAACGGCCCCCGATTACGTCCCAGATGTTTCAGATGTGCTCCGGGCTCGGACGAAGACCACCGGTATATATGAGACACGCTTCACAATGGGCCAATTGAGCATACAGTACGTGGAAACAGTCTTCGA